TCGTTATGTCTAGTGCGTCCAGTTTCGTCATGCGCCTCTGTGGATTGGGGTGAATCTGAAGTTATTGACGGTGATGTTGAAGTACTCAAGATATCACCATTAACTGAGGAAGAAGGATCAGAAGACGGACGACCGATGGGCGTAGGTCTTCCTGTTGTTTCCAAGTTATCGGGTATTGCTGGTATTTCATTGTCTGCTGTTTCCGAGGGTATTAAAGGTGTTTCAACGGTTGAATTAAATGTACTTTCAAAAGGAGTTGACTGGCCAATGAGTGGTGTAACAAGGACAGCTGAAAGTACAATAAATAATACACGACGTCGATCAAGGGTGTTTATTTTCCCTGAAGAAAGTTTTGTCTAGGGTTTCAGCAATACCGACATTGTAACTAATACAGTCCAAGCTAATACTTACCCTGGACTAAAAAAGAGTCGGGTCTAATACCTATAGACATGTACCAAGTCATCTTCATGGTACCAAGTAGAACTATTAATATAAAAGGAAGGGACAAGTGGCTATTTCTACGATGAAACAATGTCAATACTAGTTTGGAATAGAGACGCTGAAATAACTGTTTAAACACTATTTAGTTATTGCTAAACTAAACACAACAGTTCTATGGAAAACAATTACTGTTTCTACAATGATTCTCTTGTCGTTTTCAAGCACAATATAGATGCAGATAGAAAGTAAAAATTATATACCTATGTACAATCAGAACATTGTTTTACGTAATATGCATAACAGGAGTGGTGGCGTTAACACCGATTCTTTCCATCTGGGGCATAAAACGTGGCAATTATTTTAGTCAGATGCAAGTCGGAAGTGATAAAATCAATTCCATTCGATCCATGAAGATACAGGACATAAAAGTGACAATTTTTTATCAATATTGTAATGAAATAATTATCGTTGGGAAGTCATGTAAAGGATATCATTTCTCATTTAGGGACCTCCCATAGCTATCATATTTCATTTATACATCTGTAATTCTAAGAAATAAGAAACATAATAAATATTTTAAAAGCTAGGAAAGGAATGAAGATTAACGTACCTTCAACACAATACTTCAGTCATTTTGTGACTATCATTTATTGTTTAACTCGCAATAAGATGTAAATTTCATATCGTTCCGTTTCGTATTTTTCAGTCAGTTACAAATTTGGGTGTATACATGATATTCCTAAATGAATATATTGTCACTGATTGTATATATTTTTATATGGTACTTACCTAAGAAATACACTCCAACTAAAATAACTATTTTTGCCATATTTTAAAAGTCGTTCTCCTTTATTTTGCCTTTGAAGTAAAAACATCACATTAATAAAACGTGTAGCCTAATTGGGAACTATAAATGTATAACGGTAAAATTATTCAAATTACATATATAATAAAGACGTCCTTTTAAAAGATCGTTTTCTTTTGAAAATTCACATGAATGAAAGCTTAACTTTAAAGTATTTAGTTGCAGTTTAAATTAGTGTGTCTTTTTGTGGCTGTTACTTTATAAAGTCATATGTTTACTACTGGTAAACCGTAATTTCAAATCATAATTCTTAAGGGATGGATAGTAAGCATATCGGTAAGATAAAACCAAATAGCAGAAATCGAAATTTTATGAAAAATTAATGAAATGTAACAGACCTTTCTGAAATGCAGCACTAGTACTAGCTATACTTATTACCAACGGTAGTCTGTAAAATCTAATTCAAATTTAAACCCCTTGACTTTTCAATTGCATGTTAACGGGAACGTGTTTTAGAGCTGGTCATTTCCTCAAGCTAAATATGGTGTTTCATTGTTCCATCATATATATACGTCCGTGTTACCAACACTTGTGTGTAATTATATGATACACAAGGTTAGATATTCTATTTTTAACACTTATTATTTCATGGTGTCGGGGGTAGATGCAGTAAATATCAAGTATATTAATTGTGTCTAGTTGTTAGTGTGGGGCGAAAAACGTGCCTACAGGGATTATGCATAAATGATTGTGAATGGGTAAAATCATTGAATGTGTATATTATTATTATTTTGATATCGAAATAACCGATTAAGACATAATTTATTTTTTTTTTTTTTTTTTTTTTTTTTTTTGGGGGGGGGGGGGGGGGCGGGGGTTCTAGGTATAACTACCTAGTTTTGTGTACAAACAGACTAATGAAGCCGGGCGTACGTCATGCATTGAGCTATAGGGGACGACAGATTTGAAATAGATCTGAAATCCAAGTATTTTGTCGTGAAGGAAAAAAGAAAAACTTATTCTGTAATCGAACGAGCTCTGCCCCGTGCCCCATTTACTTAGAAGAACTTGACACGGGCCCGCATGGTTATTTTAGTTAGACTGATGTTTGGTGTATTTTATAGTTAATTAATTTCATAGCTTAGGTAATGCATTTTACTGTGTAGGTAATGCATGTTGCAGCGTAGGCATTGCATTTAAAAGCGTAGGTAATGCTATTTTATTGTGTAGGGAATGCATTTTATTGTGTAAGTAATGCATTTTATTGAGTAGATAATGCATTTTACAGCGTGGATAAGGCATTTTATTGTGTATGTAATGCATTTTAAAGAGGGCAATTAATAACGTAGGTAATGCATTTTATTGTGTAGGTAATGCATTTTATTGTGTAGGTAATGCATTTTATTGTGTAAGTAATGCATTTTATTGTATAGGTCTGGCATTTTATAGCTTCGATAATGCATTTTATTGTGTAGATAATGCATTTTATAACGCAAAGAATGTACAATGTCAAATCAACTCGTCTTTTCGAAACATTTAGGGAATTTTGTTATGTAGATCCTAAGCTTTATCAAGTTAATTATGAAAAGTTCATTAAATGGTGAATGTCATTTGAAAGATACAGTTTTAGATATGTGAATTTTATTTATGTGAATTTCTCAACTAAATGAGCTAGAAGTTGTGTCAGTTTTTCTAGAATGGTGACATTTCGTCGTCGGTATACCCTCGCTCTACCATCGCCTCGCTGCAACAGGAACCGACTCGTCGCGGAACCAAACTTCTCCAGCGTTGCTGTGGCAATACCCTGTGTGTCTGAACCCATTGAAGTCGGATTTGAAGGTGTCGGAGTATTTCAAAACAACAGTTCTAACGAGACGTCTGGCTGGTAATCCGGTTTCACGTAGGCGTCTATGGACTGTTACGTCTGGGATCCTACGCCGTCCAGGAATTGCTGCTGCAGTAGAGGTCGCTGTTGTGAACCGTTTCCGCAAATGATGTAACCGGATGTGACGATCCCGGGCAGGTGGGGTCACTCTTGTTTGGCCTGAGCATGGGCGGTCGCGTGTTGAACTTCGCTGTCGGTTCCTATCCCAATGTCGTGAAATAGTACTCTGGGAAAATTTCAGTAGCCTGGATACATTTATCTGGGATTCAACTGCTTGTTTCCGACCGATAGCGTTGATGCGTTGGTCTTCGTTCAGATGTGGCATCACTTGGCTCCTTAAGTGTTTACATGTGCAACAGATTTTGAAACCGAGAACACCGGGATTTTAAAGGCCTTAGATTTGGGTTTCGTGCAAAAAGCTTGCGAAGTTGTTAAAATCATGTGTCTTGGTGTAATCAAGCGAAAACAAATTTCGGAAAAAAGGCTGACCAGTCACAATTACAATCTGAACGACAGACTCACCCTACCTGCAGAGAAGTGACTCTGACACAGTGAATAGCCATGATATCCATATGACGTTATCTTAACGTCACAGGTCATGAGGTCACATCAACAAACAAATGTAAACACCATCATTATGATCATTATCAACATTACAAGACACAATGTTACATTGTAAACAATAGCCTTTTTGCAGCCTTTAGGGCTGACTAATTCATACAAAACGTCTTATCGCTTCTTCCAATGATTTTTCACAAAAATAACATCATCTACAACTCTTGATTTGACGTCGGCACATTGGCACTATTTTGTGCTTCGGTCGTGTCTATTTCAGATATACACAATCAATTCTGTTAATGTTTTTAGCGTGGGGATTGACTAAAAGTTAATTTATTTCAGTTCTAAACAAAAATTTAAAACTTTAAAGCAATTTTAAAAAAATAGCCAAATTCTGGCTGGGATTACTGAGCAAAATGGCCATTCACTGTATACGTGCGGAAAAAAAAGCCAGCTACCGATAAATTTTCGTACGTTAGTTACGTACGTCACAATTAGTGACCTACATTTAAAACCAATAATGGATTTCTTTTATCCTTTTTTCGATCCCTGCATTGGCCGAGAAAGTTCATCCAGATTTTCTGGCGTGATCCCCCTCCCCCTTGTCAGTGATGCAGGACGGAGGGCCTGACAAGGACAGCTGTCTAGTCGTACGGATGGGAATTCGATATAAGAGTAGGCCGTAATGCCACTGTTCGGGCAAAATTTCCCTCATAGCACACTGTATGGCGTATGCCCGTCTTCATTAGCCCTGTCCGGAGCAAAACAGTAGAACGTTAAACCCCATTTCATTTCTTTTATCCTTACATAATGACATTAAAAACAAATAAGATTGATGGAAACAACGATCCCGTTCAAATAAAAAAAAGGATGAAAAATGGGCTGTGCGTTTCTTTTTTTTTTTTCTTTTTTTTTGTGAAGAGAGTATAATATATACCTTGTATCATTCACGACATCCTCCATTGAATAAATTTAAATAAGCACTTGGATTTCAGAATCCGACTTTACATTATGCAGAGTAAAAACTGATAATCATTTTGTTAAGAACTCACAAATGCAAGATTATAATAAAAACACGACTCGGTCATCGATATCTCGCATCCGGTATCCTATACCAAAACCTAATATAAGTCAAACTTGTTCACATGGAAACACAAAAATTATTAATTAGCAAAAGACACAACTATAGCTGAATGTGTTTCAAAGTTTCAAAAAGATATCTGTTTCGGAAAGATGGACAGACAGACGGACGGAGCCCATTTCAATATACCTCCTTTAACTCAGCACCGGGTAATAAAATAACACTTAAAAGCTGTGGATTTATTAGTCTCAAATATATAACAATATTCTAATTTACATATTTACAAATCGTTTTAGGTAAATGGACGATTTTTTTTAAATTCATTGTCCAGTACGAAAAGAAATATAAAGTATAAAAAATTTGACTGCATTGTGGATGTTCATCAAACACAAAACTGAACTGACATGGATATAATCTTTGAAAGGCTGAGTCTATTCTGCTTTTTATGTATCACTGCTTAGATCTCGGCACTTTCTCACACATGACAATTTTGAGTGAAATACAATATGTCTATCATAATGAATGAAATACAAGGATTCCAATAAAGTCTTTAATAGTATTACTGATATTATTACACACCTACGAGTGTTTATAAATTATAATACTATTAAGCCCATCTATCTCCGTACATCATATGGTCGGCCTGGCGTTTTAGCCCTTCGCCAATCAATCTTATTAAAATACAGATTTTGTACTGGTATTCACATTTTAACTTGTATATTACAAACATTAACGTGGTTATGGGGATTCTTCATATGTTCACAATAAAATATACTACCTGTTTCATTTACATCTTTGAACACAGGGAGATTTAAAGATAAAACGTATATGTTTATTAAAGTGGAAATGAATGGAATACCAGCCTCTGCATTTACCAGGCTGACTGTCAGTACATCATCAAAGTCATAGGGCAGCAAAGATGGAACAGATGTCAAAAGTGGCAGTTTATAACAAACTTTAAAATATGCATCACTATCGAAACCGTATTACACTGTAATTGATATACGTATTGTGTATTTGACTTTCAAAAATAGTATAATCATGACCTCGATGACATTGACGGAGGTATTAATTTTCTGAAAGATTATGATACACACTAATCATTTGCAAAGACACCTTTGACTGATTGTGGGTGAGAAACGAATGTAATCTACCACCATAGGTGACCGCCACTTTAATTTACGTGTTCCCTTTACTAGAACTTTATATTACAATACATACAGTGACTCATACATTCATGTTAAAATCTCTATTTTATGTACGTAACAGATGCCCATAACGTTCCATTTCCAAAGTGAAGTTAATACCATTGGGACTGTACAGCGCAATGGACGCATAGGACTGGTTCCCGGAACTATTCACTTGATTTGATATGTTTCTTGTTATTGCTTGGAATGTCTATGTAGTTTGTCTTGTCCGCAGGTTTGTCTCATGTAGTGCGGTCCTCCTGCACTTAATATTGACGATATGTCACACTTTAAAGGTATTGTTTTACTTTTTATAAATCCTGCTGAGAATGATGGATCTATTTCATCCTTCACGGTTGTTAAAATATTAATTATTAAAGTCGTTGATCATCCACTGTAAAATGCGTGAACCAGTTTTGTATTGATATTCATCTTAGAGAATCAACTTTTCAAATAGTTCCAAATATTGCAAAGGATTTAAAATCTCCAAAATGACGACCAGCGGCGTTAACGCAATAAACTGATTATTTGTAAGTTGCGGTCGTCGTATTGGTCCGAGCAAAACTAACCTACATAAATACAAGCGTACGACTTAAAACAGAAACGTATAATGAAACAATGCATTAATTAAGTTACATCAATATATATAAACTGGACACATCCTATGAAATAAAATTACTGTTTTAGATTAAAATACCCTAGTCCTTATTACGTCTCTAATTGGTAACCGTAAACTAAGTTGATGCAAAGTCGAAACGTCGACCAGTAATAAACAGTAGTCCATACAACTGCGTGCGGTGTATTTGTATTCTAATAGTCGTATTATGATAAATAATACTTAAATCGTCCATTTTTAAGGTTAGTAAATAAAGTAAATAAAATAATTAAATCAATTATACATTCACAATCCCATCATGTATTAAAACCTAGCTCGCAACCCACCGTACGTGTTTTGCCACGCACCGGTCGTATGACTTTGTAGCTCGCAGACCAGCCGCAAGAAAGCGGGCGAAAATTTTGTATGTGCAGGACCAAAAGTCTCTACGGCCAGTGTGCGATCTTCTACGGTGCTGAACACACGCAAGTAATGTGTACGTCTCAAGCACGGGTTTACTACCCCCCCCCCCCACCCCCGTAGTAGCACGTACGACGGGTTGCGGGCTAGGCTTTAGCAAAATAAAAGTCAAAGGGTGGTGTTTATAAGGTTAAATTGATACATTTAAAAGGCGAACGATAGTGTTAAAATTATTAACCCATTGTCCGACATGAACTATCTCCACAGCCCCCATTCGCAACCTTTTTATGGCGCATTAAACGGCCCGAGTCACGTAAATAGTTATTAAGCATTTTAGAGCCTAGGCGGTCCATGGGGCAGAAGTTTCGTGTGGAAATGTATTACAAAACTCACCTTTTTCTCATATTTCTCAGGGATTGGGGTGGTCAATATTTAAATGTATTAGGTGCTAAGGGTTATAATAAAGGCACAATATCACAGTAAATTTTATACCATCTTTGAGCATGTGATTACGGGTCATAGGCATACAGTTTATGACTTAATTGTAAACTTGACAATACATGTTATCGCTCCGCTGCATTTTACTAAATGGGCCATATATGAGAAATTAAAATATATCTCCACAAATGCTGATAAATAATATGTCTATACATAGGCTCATTTAGTAAAAAAAACGTACAGCGTAAAGTTAACTGAGTTAGTTTACAAAGACATCGTCTTCTTTTGGACCGAACAACCGATAAGGGCACGCACTGAATTGGCTAAAGTAATGACCCCAGTAGTTATTTGGACGGAAATGTGAAAATAAATATAATAAATATGTTCCGTGCACCTAGCTTATAACAGAAATAAAATAGTTTGTTTAAAAAAGTATGTTTTTGTTTGTTTTTTGTTTTTTTTGTTTTTTTTGATCAAATGGTAAACACTTTGATGTAAACAACGACCTGGACTACTCGGATGCTAACCTAAAATTGATATTTGTCCTGATCAATTAAAGTAAGTACTATAAGCGAGGTGCTAAGGACCATAGTTGAGCCAAAATTAATAAAATATACAATTTCTTAATTTCGTTTCTGTTATATATAGTTTGAGTTTTGCCTTCACGCATGAAAGATCTGAATTATTTTTAAAAAAAATTTTCTTTTTTCTTGTCGTTTTTTCAAAAACAAACCCCGAAGTCGCATTGTGTATAATATAAGAAATTGGCAAATGAAAGCAAAACAACGTCAGATAGAAGGCCGACACCCTGAAGTGAACGCTCAAGAAAATTCATTAAATCTATGCCACCGGAATGACGAAAGCGAAACGAAATATAGATCTGTAGTGTGTGCCAAGTTATGAGATAGTTAAATAAAGCTGGATTCCAACTGTGATAATAAGGACAAAAATGTTGACACCAACAGATGTAGCTAAATTGTTTAGAAGATCCTTCACACCGTTACATTTATTTGTAGTACAACAGTTTGTTATTATATTAACTCCACTTGATCCACTAATACTGCTCCATGTGCATACATTACTTTTACAACCCACCGTAATTACCTCGCCTTCAATAGAAGCCTAATAAATATAAAATTATTTCAAATATATATGAATCCATAATCTGTGAACAAATGATATAAAATTAGGTTTAACCTCCCACTTTTCTGTACCGACCTGCCTAATTGGGACATGCAGTGTGTTACTACGAGGACATTTTTGCCCGAACAACGGCGCCTATACCTACTCTTATATCGAATTTCACCTGTCAAGGGGCTTACGCCCACTATTACTGAAAAGAGGTAAGCGCGATGGAAAATCCCGGGGAACCCCGTATCACCTGGATAGTGAGCCAGCGTCCTATTCACTGATCCCCATTTTGTGAATATTCCAAAATCTATATCCAAACTACCAACAAAACTCTATTAATTTCCTCAAATCAATATATCTTACGAGTTTCATGAAAATATACCAATGCAAAGTTTAATACATTACTAAAAGACGCCTGGGAGAGCTCAAAGACCAGGTGACATTGACGTCATGTCCCCGGCACCATGATAATTATTTAAGAAATGTCATGAGGGGGCAAAAGATGAAATCGAAAGAATCCACTTGTCTGCGTTAATTAAACAATACTGCTGAATATCTACAACAAACGCCGCGTTATTTATTATCCAAGCATTTTGAGTTGTATCATTGATCTACAACAAACGCCGCGTTATCTATTATCCAAGCATTTTGAGTTGTATCATTGATCTTGTTCATTTCGGAAATTGTATACTTACAAAACAAGATCCTTCTGCTGGCTTGATACAGGTAGGAGTAGATGTCGTAATGTTTATTGAAAGGCAGTCTGTACCAGTGCAGGTTATGTTGTAACATAGTATCTGTAATAAGATAGATAGTGACATTCAGATTCGGTTTTTATTAACCTGTAAATTGTGTTCAATCAATGCAATTAACCATATCATTATTCAAATAATTGAGATTGGAAAATAAGGAGGCATTCACCCCAGCAGCTGCTCCGGTGGTACCAGTAGTTGCTGGTGCTGTGCTACCAGTAGTTGCTGGTGCTGCTGTGGTACCAGTAGTTGCTGGTGCTGCTGTGGTACCAGTAGTTGCTGCTGCTGCTGCTGTGGTACCAGTGGTTGCTGCTGCTGTGGTACCAGTAGTTGCTGCTGCTGCTGCTGTGGTACCAGTAGTTGCTGGTGCTGTGCTACCAGTAGTTGCTGGTGCTGTGGTACCAGTAGTTGCTGGTGCTGTGGTACCAGTAGTTGCTGGTGCTGTGGTACCAGTAGTTGCTGCTGCTGTGGTACCAGTAGTTGCTGCTGCTGTGGTACCAGTAGTTGCTGCTGCTGTGGTACCAGTAGTTGCTGCTGCTGTGGTACCAGTAGTTGCTGCTGCTGTGGTACCAGTTGTTCCTGCTGCTGTGGTACTAGTAGTTCCTGCTGCTGTGGTACCAGCAGTCGCTGCTGCTGTGGTACCAGTAGCCGCTGCTGGTGTGGTACCAGTAGTTGCTGCTGCTGCTGTGGTACCAGTAGTTGCTGGTGCTGCTGTGGTACCAGTAGTTGCTGCTGCTGCTGCTGTGGTACCAGTGGTTGCTGCTGCTGTGGTACCAGTAGTTGCTGCTGCTGCTGCTGTGGTACCAGTGGTTGCTGCTGCTGTGGTACCAGTGGTTGCTGCTGCTGTGGTACCAGTGGTTGCTGCTGCTGTGGTACCAGTAGTTGCTGCTGCTGTGGTACCAGTAGTCGCTGTTGCTGTGGCACTAGTAGCTGCTGTTATGCTTAATATAGAGCAGATTAGTATGACTGCTGGAAATAAAATTAGAAAACAAATTACCCAAACCCTCAGTTGTAACTTCTGTCAGAAAATGTTAAACATCCAAGCACCCTATATAAATGTGCTTGCTGGGTGACTCCAAATACGAACTAATTATTTGATTTATCACTGCATTCATGCTACCATAATTTGATAGCCATCATCTTTGGATGTGGACATGTGCAAGAAGTTGAGATATCCCTGGTATCTTTTTTCGAAACAAACGCATCATAGTTAAAATTCAAAATATAATAATCATTGTAACACCAACACAATTAGAAGAACAAACATCTAGCTCACAATACAAGGATTCCTGGTCTTAGAAACGTTCAACAAAAACGATGCTGAGCCAAGCGACATTTCTTCTAGCAAACTGACACTCGGTTGATCAATCGCCAAATTAACACTCAAAGATATATATATTTTAAAGAGAACATACTTACTAAGTAACATATTTGACATTCTAAAAATGGTTAACAATATAATCTTCGTCAAAATTTAATCCTGTTTGAAAGAAAAAACATTTCAAATTGTTAAAGACAGATATTATTGTTATTCAATGGTAAAAGCTGTTGCATTGGCGTAAATACTAGCACAAGTATGCAGTTATTTCTCTTCAGCCGAAGAAATCCATTTGGGGTATATAATCGCCTTTAATCTGGGGCTTTGTCCTAATCTTAGAAGGTGAACTATGCTCATTTAAATTTCCTCAACTTCATCTAAACTCTCCTTTCAGGGTATTAAAATGGTAAGCTATCGGACTAGTTTACCATTAAAAGGGGAAGGTATCTTTTGTTAAATACAACGAGTTTTGGTTGTATATGTGTTATCTATATTCTTTTTATTAATGTTGAATTCATCGCATGCTGTTGCTATTCTAATCGTTCATGGTACAACAAAGTCAATTTAGTAAAAATATATGAATAAAATTTGTGTTACTTTATTTTAATGACGGTTATTACTATAAAATTTCATTCAGAATTATTTATTAAAAACATACAAATCAGGGTCCTGTTTCACGAAATTTTTAACTAAAGATAAAATCCAAATTTTAGTAGATACTTCAATTTTGATTGGCTAAGCACTAAAATCAACCCAATATTATCCAATCAAATTACTAAAATTTGGATTTTATCCTAGTTAAAATTTCGTGAAACAGGCCACTGAATTGTAAATTTTTCAAACTTCATTGATCTTGTAAACATTATCTTAAATTCAATTTTCTGGAATATTTTCTATCATAAGAAAGAAGCCAACCCATCTTGATTACAGGAACGAAAAAGGATTATATCATGTAATATTATTGACTATGTTGCGACATTGCAACCTGGTAATGATGATAAACTACTGAACTAATTAGAAATGTAATATATTTCTCTGCGAACATTATTTTGATAAATATATATGAAGGATAAATATATATGGTGTAAAGAGTAAAACCCAGTGTAAAATAAAAACAAAGACGCGATTTGTTTCACAAAAGCCTGCCTCACTAGATTTTATATTTTTTCGGTATAAACCAAGAGAAATGTTTTGTCTAGCATATGAACCGCAACAAAAGCAAAATTGTAATATCATGTCAGTTCTTATTGGGTCGATCTTAATTTGTCAGATTTTATTCTACTGAATCATATGAATTGGGAAACTGTGGTGGGTATGGTGGTCCGTGCGCATACTCTTCCAATTAAAAACCTTGATAAGACTAGCCATTTATGAGAAATTATATGAATCAAGGTTTCCTAACCTTTTTTTTTGTCCCGTGTACGTCCAATAACTGTTCAAAAGTAGATTTGGCCCCACCCTTTAGATTAAAAATCCTACACCTATAACTGGACAAATATAACATGTACAAATCCAGAATCAGTCGGGAAACCTTGATATACATACTTGCTATCTTCATTACAAAAACAAACCAACAAGCAAATAAAACCAATGTAAGTCGTCCCTATGCCCCGGAAATATATTCGAACATGAATACGTTTGTACAGTTTCTTTCAATTTGCAATCTTGAGTTGACCATCGGGCAGGACAGTTATTTTTGCAGGACTTTTTTTACGACCAATACACCCGAGAAGTTTGAATCGTAATGACTTATTCTAGAGTGTATGCAGAATATGTGTGTGGCATATTATAGCTTAGATAGCCATTGTAACCTTTAGATCTAATCAAACAGAGTTTGAATAATCCTATGCAAAAATGTCGATTTTCTTAAACTAAAGTCCCCATAGACATATAATGCGAAGCTCGAAGTGGCCGAAACAGAACATCATACTATGTCGTAATATTGTGACAATGTGAAAACCACCCAGTCGGTGAAATAGGATACATCGCTACATCATGATAGGCGATTTGTTTGAGTGGGATATTGATGTCATACAATATCTTTTATTCTCAATACCAACCTAATACCAAGCGATTAGTTTCCATGGTAGCAGTGTCAACAACACAATCTCTGGTTCGACGAAAGCTAATATTATTTACGAATCTGATAAATTCAATACAGTGTACCCATATCTCATTCCTAAAGCGCAGACTTCACAAATCATGGGTGACTACCCCGGGACGGACAAAGACACCTTGCCTAGTAGTTCAGATCGGACGGGCCCTAATAGTTAAAAAATATACGACATTTTAGTGTATAATGTATTATATTAAACACCAACTCTTGGACCCGCGGTGGTTCGTTGAGTAATATAGATACGAGAATTAAGAGGTTGGTTAAGTTGAAATGTTGCAGGTTTACTTGTCTCTACTTCCAGCTCTGAGTCATTTTAGAAACAAACAGAAAGATATTATAGAGTGGTTAAGGATCAGTTTCTAGTCGTGGGGATATGATTCAAAACCAAAGTTCCGCGAACGCATTAACGTGACCGTAAAGAATCCTTTACAGTTGGAGCGCCGCTTGCCGGGCAACATTTACCTCATATAACTAGGACGTTAAACCCCATTTCAGATCATCTATTTTATTTTACTCTGTATGAGGTGGGGGTCTAGTGGTATATTGCGCACGCGTTATACCATAAGGTCTATCACTGAGTCAAGTGGCGTGGTTTTCGCAGTGGGTTTTCTCCCTTCTTACCCTAAAGTGTGTGTGTGTGGGGGGGGGGGGGGTCTAGTGGTATATTGCGTGCGCTTTAGACTCTAGGGTCTATCATTGAGTCGAGTGGGCTGGTTTTGGTAGTGGGTTTTCTCTGCCCCCCACACACACTCTCTCTCTCTCTCTCTCTGAAGATGTGTCGTTCAAAATATATAATAGATATCCATATACATAATCATCAGTCAATAAAATTTACATAATATGAATGAACTAACATGTCTATTCCATTTGTATTATCTTGGTTAAACCAAATTATTTAAACAAGATAGACGACAAAGCCCACGCGATTAATAGCTTGTCAAGAGGTTGATGAAAAAAATCTAATTTCAATCCTAAACAAGAGAACTGATCCAAAATACTTAAAACGATATGACATTGTGATGTCAATAAAACGCGCTTAAAACAAATATATTTTTCAGTCTCTTCACCCCACACTTCTTGGCATCTACAGGTAAATAGTGAACTCAATACATTTTACCTTAGATTTATTTTATCTCTAAAAATTTACATGAAGCTATCCTTTGTCAAATAACAGCAAATATTACAATACATATAGATTTTACAGTGTGGAAAGTATAAAAGATTTTGAGGCCTTCGTGTATATTAGCGTTCGAATAGGAAAATGATTGGTATCAGCAAGTTTTATTTAAAGAATGAATAGCAAACAAGTTTTAAATAATACATTTTTCAGAATTAAGTCCAGTATTCTGTACCTTCACATGAAATGAATTGAAATGTAGTGGGGTTTAACGTCCTACTGTTCTGCCCCGACTGGGCTAATGAAGACGGGCATTTATATGACATATGAACCACGGTGGCTCAGTGAGTTGGCGCTAGGTCGCTAAATAGAAAGTATCTTGTTCGATCTCGGTGTTGGCTTAGGAAGTTCCTCGTTTTGTTTTTTTCCGACGTGGTTTCCATATGTAAGTGGTGTAGACAAGGACGGGGGTGTCTAGTAATGTAAGACATTAACCCCGTCTCCAGTAGCCCGATGACACAGAAATACAACGCATTAAACTCATTTCATTTCACGTCTAATATCACAACATCGCCTAATTACGTCATAAAAATAATGCATGCTAACTGAGTCTGCTAATCACCGATAAAACCGATAAATCATGTGCTTACTGTCAGGTGTCTGTTATGTCAATATCTCTCTGTGTTTCCTAGTAATCGTTATCTTTGATTTTATTGTACCATTTGATTGCTTTCTGAGAATTTCTATCAATAACATTTGGTCAATGTCGGGCAATATTTACTGTTTTATCTGTAATCTGGTTTTAGCAATAACCACGATAAGATACGGCATAATAAGCAAGGAAACCGCTAATCATCTTCTAGTTCTTCTTGGGAGTGACGCTCTTCGAAAGAAAAAGTCCAAAGGCTCCTCCAATTGTAGTAAGATCGACATGAAACTTGGCAAGATTGTTCCTTGGGCAATTGCTCAACAATTGTCGCCACAATTCCCAAATGACAGCGATCGTGTCGTCCTCGGTTTAATCGTCTATATATGCTCTTACTTTAAAAAAATGTTTCAAGATTCTGATTGACAATCTCTTTAATTGTCAGTCATCAGAATTTGGAATTCACAGTATGGTTGTCTTCTGGAACTGTTTAATTCCCGAACCTCCCGAATCTGGCCTACATTGGCATCTCCTGATATTTTAACAAATATTCAAATCACGGCCCGTTACTTTAATGTTCTTGCATAATACCAGGCGGATGCGTATCGCGTCTTGTTAATGATTACTGTTATATGCGATAAGTTGACCTAGGATTATCATTAGAGAGAGAGAGAAATGGGGTTTAACGTCCACTCGACACAAACTAAATCATTTCGGGACTAACATATGGTTCAATTTTATTTCAATAATTCGCTTGCGCGTAGGGGTCTTTAGTAGGGGGGGGGGGAGGACACGGAGAAAACCCACGAGCTTGAAGGATTATTATTAAAGTATCTAAGTCTCTAACTCAATATCATCCAAAGTCTTCGACATTGCAAACTCGAATTATTTGTCAATTTAAATCAACATTCCACAAGTCATGTCAAACGGTGAAGCCATATTCTTATCTGGTGAGCATGCGTAATAAGTACTAACGGTGTAGACGGGAATAACCAGAGGCTAGAGATTGCCATTCGATTGAGACTTTTGGCTATTTCGCCGAACATAACTGATTTGAAATTAGATTAAAAATGGAAACAGTTGAATGTAAAGCAGTTTATATACATTCATATTACATTATATCCGTTGCGACCTATTTGTGCCAATTTCTAGGTCCCAAATATTAACTACTTGGCTCCTTTAACATTAATTTTAAAGATAATAATAAATGAAGGAGGTTATATTATATTGATCCTCATTTACAAATTCAGTGTCACATTTGAAGTTCCTGAAATTTCACAGCACTGTCTATTTTGTGCCCTAAATAATAAACGACACTGCTGACCATTCTTGGCCAGGACAACCGAGTCCATCATAAATTCCACCTTCAAATAAAAATCATTGACATATTGCCACGTCTAGCTTTCTATACAAATAGTCCTAAAGGATAATATAATACTCGAAAACGAAGGAAAATAATGAAACAATAGAAAGCGGATTTCCTATATAAAAATGTATTTTTTAATAATCCAAAAGAAGAAATTAGAAATTAAGTAATGTTTCTTCGTCTATAAATACTTCCATCTTCGTGTAGGACATTTCTTTGGTTCTATCTCTTACAAATGCAACAAGGAAAAATAAGATCGAGCTCTTTCATAATCTGTCCACCGAATTGTGCTGACCAAATTACGCTAACCTGTACTCCTACCCGTTGTATGCGTGTTAATACCGGTAACATAGAAACAGATTTTAATGTCCAGCAATAAGATCTATAGAATTAAATGTAAGTGGAAAACAGATTCTGTTGTCCAACTATAAGATCTACCAAATTAAACGTATGTTCTATCAAAATATATATCAAAAATACACAGATTCTGTTTGTCCAGCAACAAGATCTATAATATAAATAAAAAATGTCCAGACCTTATACTTATGGATTTAAACAGTTCTTAGTTGATACCCAGGCATAATTTGATCACAAGTTAAAAAAAAAACGGTCTTACATTTCAGCAATATGCCTCACCATTTCCCAGTTATCCTCATAAATATGACACAGTCTCAAAAGACCTTTTGATGACAATAAGCAACACTGACAGGTAACATAAATGTTTATGCAACAGTGTCCTCTAGCATATAATAAATCAATAAATGAAGCATTGTTTCTTTCTCGGACTTACCTGTTATATTGTTCTTGAACTATAAACCCAATAGCCACACAGTCGACTAAACGTCATGCAAGCTTTATGATCTGATTCGTCCAAATTGGTTGGCTTATCTGACTACTTCAGTGGTTGTATTTCATTTGGGTAACTGCTAGATTGCTCTTCAAAAAACACATCTTATATCAGTTATTTGTTTTGTTTGATTTCTATGGCTACATATTGTTAGTAGAGACGATAATGCAATAATGCTCGAATTAAAACATATGTCTATTCTTCTTCAGATTGTCCCGTATTTACAGTAAATTAATCAAGTTGATTTACGTTCTTGTCCGTTTCCAAGTTCCATTAACCATTTTAATAAAAGTACCTTTTGCCGGTATCAAACCCCTGGACAAATTCTATTAACACAAGTAATAATATAACGAGATAAAGCTACTTTTATTATTACCTTTGTCAGTATTACACCCCGGGCAAAACCAGTTAGTTATAATATTTAGAATGTACTTATCTTAAAAGTAAGCATATTAGCATACGCATAACCAGGTTAGGAGTTAGAATTATGGGTGAAATTCCGCTCCATAGGCGCTTACTTTAGTAGCCTATTTTCACTGGAATTTTTTAGAACGACATGTCCGTACGTCTATTTATGTTGAACATTTTCGGACAATTACTCCCAGAGTTAATTTCCTTGATTTCAAAAAGCTTGATTTCGAATTGTGGTGTTAGAAATCAATTCTAACATTGCCTTTAATCAGTTTAGTGTAGCCTTAAAGGATGGCGTGATCAACATCACGTTTGATGCGCCCATTTGTTGCACTGGCAACCTATGTTTTGTGGCTTTGCTGCTGGACTAAAAGTTTTAAAATATGACGTTTTGTACCTGTGTTTAAGTCATAAATCGACGACATTATACGACCACATTTCAATGTGGGCGTACCAAAAGAGTGTGCACGCAATAAGAAAATGACTAAAAACCACGAGAATGTGCAGACTTACAGCCTCACTTTACTATTATCACATGGGTGCTATGTGCCAGGTCTAATCAGACAATGTGTCACGTATATCATTCCCGGTTTATCGTATAGTTTAGCAACCCCACCTCTCCAACTTACTTGTTATGAAAACAAATAATGTACTGTTTGTTTACCTTGGATACACTATTAGGTTTCAAATTGTTACAAAAACATTGCACTGACACGAATTTTAATAATACGGCCTGTGTCTTGTTCTTATCAAGATGGATTCATATAATATATTATTCAAAAATGAAAAAAAGATAACTCATGTCCATGCATACCCTAATCTTGAGCGTGTGTACATTGTTTCTCAACAATGTTACAAAGCTTTTAAAAACTATCTGTTGTTGTAATGGTAACAATAAAATTTCTATCAATTGGTATCATTGAATATACATGTATAATTTCGAAAATATTTTAAAAATTAGTAAGTTGATTTATGGTAATGGCAATATGAGAAATTCTATACACTGGAATTATTACATATATTGTAGAGTTTGTACAATATTTAAAATTTAGTAATAATTTTTTATCTATTTAAATTAATTTATCGTAATGGCGATGTTAGACATTTTATAAACCGCTGTTAATAAAGGGCGTTACATTTTTGGTCCATTCATCCAACTCCCTCGAGCGCAATTTGTAATGATGAACGAGGCAAAACGTCAATGCAAGTGAAGTATCAAACCATACTCCAAATGTAAACTGATCTAAGCAGGCGCGGACGACCGCCATTCAATTTGGACTGCTCACGTATTTCAGAAATTACAATAACAAATTTTAAAAAAGAATGTAAATCAGTTTACATACACTCATATTAACAAAAAGAAATTCTTGGCCTTATTCACGAAAATTTTTAAAACTGTCGTAGTGTGTCTATGTCCTCAAAATATGTTCATCCAAATATCCGCTTCCTTTTGTAGTGTCTTTCTTTTAAAAAGAAAGATTAAAAGCGAAAATGCCATAAGGTCGTACATGAATAAAATGACAAGGTTTGAGCAAAGTTACAGCAATATTGTGGCGGTTTTTTTATCCCCATCTTTGATCATTACAGTATAAGATAATTTGTATTATTATTATATATGTTATCGTAGTTCAAATTGTATTACAAATCGTTCAAAAATCATTATAATCAAATTATACATTTTTGTACCTTGTCATTTATTAATAAGATATATTAATAAATGGCCATTTTCAATTCATTCACGGTGTTGTTGTATTATACGTGCTTTGATCAAACTGAGCAAGATACTGTGTTGGCATAAAGGAAATGTTTTATTCTGCACCCACCGAACAACTTTGTAATAATAAATAAGATGAAATGAGGTTGAACGGGCTGCTTTTCTGCACCTACTACATACGCCATATGAGGGAAATTATGCACGGACGGTGGCACTACAATCTACTCTTATTACAAAATCCAATTGCGAAGTGTTCTTTTACGTGCACGCAAATATGTACAGGGTACCTCAGTCTTTCGTCCAACCCGAACGACTAGAGGCTCTCCTTGCCAGGCGCTCCGTCCCGCACCGCTGACAAAAAGAAACCACGCCGAAAAATCCCGGACAAATTTCTCTTCAGGACCTCTTGGTTAGCAAGTTAGCGTCTTACTTACTCAGCCACCGCGGCTCCCTTTATGAAATAATTATAAGAAGAAGATACATGTATCTACCCGACCCAGAAAGTGTCACATTCCGTTTGCTTCAGTATTGTAATGGTAAACACATAGCAACGAAATATTATTTGATTCATATTGGATAATAAAGTAAATATTATGCAATGATAAAAGAAAATGGTCGGACACCCATTGATCTATCTCATCCACATCGCGCTACCGTGAGAAAAGAACGATGCGTCGCGCTTTCAAGCGACCTCGTCATGTTCCTCCACAGCTTAACTTTGAAGAGATCAAAATTGGCCTACATGGATGTCCATAAACAATAGAACACCATAGTCCGTTTACCCCCCCCCCCCCCGCCCCCCAACACACACACATATAAATATTGTTTTGTTGGGGACCCGCCTGGGTCCTTGTTCCTTATGCAAAATCACCATCTTGAGCCCAGTCAGAGCAGAACAGTAGGACGTTAGACCCCATTTCGTTTCACTATGGTCCATGTATGGTCAGAATGTTATACTTTGGAAATCATTAACAGGTTGATCCATCCCGATGACCCTGTTGTAGCCGAGAATCATTTAAGGTTTTCGGAAATGAATGGGTCATTTCGATCCAATGACGATTTACAAAGCTAAAATCTCTACGCAATGTTGCTTGTTAGCAAACAGGAAGGTGGGTTATCATGATCTCAGGGTGTCAATCATTATATATACCACCATGAATAAAGCGCTGGGTATTACTGTTTACATAACGATAACATTATATGTTTATGGCGACCATATTTTCAAGGTGTGTCGCAATGTACCTCTCTACGTGATTCGCGATGCTGGAAAGGTTTTCACAATGAATTAACCTCACAAAAGATAATGCGAAGGCCACTGCATGCACACATACTGTCTAAAGGATTATATTTAAGTACATCTAAGGACACTTTAACGTAGAAAGACATTCAGTTGCTTTTCTTGGAACTATTGCGCTGACATGGGCTGCTAAGTGATGTATTTATTAGTCCAAATGGGAAATTCCATCCCTGGGATAAAGCGTAAAACAATATCGAACATATAATCAGTTTACGTAAACTAACTGATTCGCAAAATTTCAACACTTGTGTCCAAACGAATAACCCATTGATAGATGTCGCGACCCCAGCACCTATCCGCCCCATTCGCACCGACGTATTGAGAACTTGTTGACATAATATTTACGTTCATGGCTCAATATCAATAAATTTTAAGAATAATTTTATATGCGCGGTATCCGCGGTATCCGCGATATCCGCGGTATCCGCGTTGTGGTTCAACCAACCCATCAAGTTTCTCGGGTTATTCGTGTGAAAGCAGGTGTGTGTTGGGTCGTGTTTGGGTAAATAAATCCGAATAGCCAATTTTAAAATCCAGTCTCCCAATCATGGGCTTTCGTATGGATATAAAGTATTCTCTGGTTCAATGGCATTTAGTAATTAACCTGGCAATGTTCAGGACACGTGTATAATATGGAATAGCATTGCAACTTATGACTGAGCGACGATTCTCTAATCTTTATCAAGCAACACTAGTAAACATATCGCTCAGTAAGTGACGGGGGGGGGGGGGTGGAGAGATAGTCAAACACGCACACACGCACACAAACTATGTTATTTCGTTTACTAATATGTGGTTCCATTTTATATGACTTATTTGCTGGCCATTATTGTCTTTAGCAGTGGACTGGGAAGGTGGGGAGAAAACCCACAAATTTATTCCTTGTCACGTACAAGCGCGGAGTCGAAAGTACACTTGACTTAATGACAGACGTACGCGTACTGCACGTTAAAACCATTGGGCCACCAAACCCTCCGACGTCGTTCAATAATAAACCATAATTGTGTTCCAGAGAATTGTGTCATATTTATAATGTATACTCTAACACTCAAAACCTCTTCAATGTAAATAAAGGAGACTTAGTTTATAAATGTTTATATTGCATTGCACGGATCTTGATAAACAACACAAGGAACTTTATCAACAATTGATGAATTTACTGTAATTACCTACTTGGACCTTTCCCTTAAGCAAATAAAACAAAGCTCAAAGTACACTTCTTGACAGTGAGTGCTTGATGATTTTACTTTAGACAGTTTTATTTCAGAATTTCTGTAAGATTTAAAAGATTGAGCTTAGAACATAATAATATTATATATAGATTAAGATTTTCGTAGTACAATTTTATAAATAAATAAATAAATAAATAAATAAATAAATAAAATGTTTTTTATTTAATTTAATAAATAATTAGATATATGGACTTAAACATGTATTATGCAAGAGCTAAATCTGCCTATTTCAGGTCTTTCTTTAGGCCTGAAATGTTATCTAAATTA